AACATTAAATCAACTAATTCAGAAAGACAGTCAGACATTGGTTAGATTAGGTCTGCCTTCCCCTCCTGACATGATATTAGGTTATAACTTTTCCCCCTTAAAAAAGGTTGTACATCATTAACATTGCAATAAAATTATATAAGGCTAACAAAAGTAATCTACCACCATGCACCAATATGCAGATGTAATAAAAGACAAAATCACTTCTCACAGCTATCTGGCCTGCTAATTATCCCTGAATATGCAAATTTGGCTTGTTTCTTGTTTGAAATCCTGTTTTATATTGGCAAACTTTCTTCTCAATGAACAATAGAAAATGAGTTAGAAGACATCAGTGAAATGTGAAAATGCAGTTGGGGATTGTTTCCATTTCATCTTGAAGTAATTTTAATACTGTTCTCTCTATCCCAAACTCCTTCATGGGCACAGAGTGACGAAAAGCAAGCAGGGAGTGGAAAGGCAGGGAGAGAGCAGTTTAGCTTCAATATTTGTCTCAAAGGATACTGCCAGTGTTTAAAAAACCATTTGCTATGTGTGTTGGGCTCCAAAAGCCATTTTCTGTGTACCTAGGACAACTGTAGTTTAAGTCTGCTTGTTGCCACTCTTCTTGCTTTTATTTAGTCTACATCCAGATTTACTGTGTTTCTTCACATGCAAGTAATATGTCTTTCTGCACACTGCAAAAAGTGTAATGTCCTGAGGGTTTGCTACCAGGGTTAAGGTATTTCCCTGGAGTACACCTGGTAAAGCCATCTGGTAGCATTTGTAACAGGGAAGGGCCTAAAGGCCATAGTTAGAACCAGGTTTCTGGTGGGCTCTGTCCCCTGCAGCCTTGCCCAGGCTGCACACAAATGGAGCTAAATTATGCATCTTAAAATCTACTTAAGCATTTGTGCAAAATATTACAGACCACAAAGAAGGACCAGAGATGGAAGGCCTCCAATACATGAATCTCTGCAGGGTTTGATCTGTGGAAATGATTATCAACTCTTTTGACCCTACCAGGCACCTACCAAAGCTCCCTAATGGACCAGAGCCAGACATCTATTTAAAGCATCTCAAAATTCAGGAGAAGAGAGGGAACTCCAGATTTAGGGAACTGCCATAAAGAGACAATTACAGAAGTTTCCTAAATTGCTTGGGGTTTTTCTTGAAGAGTCAGTCTGTAGCAGATACAGGAACAGTACCAATATCAGCCTCAGCCTCTGCACATGCAGCTACATGTGCATCATATGTATATGAAACAATGCAAGTTTAGGAACTGTACTTGGTTTGGGCCACTTGTACTTTGTGAAAATTAACTGTATTAGAGAACTGATAGAGAAGTATACCAGTGTTTGCAAGAACACAGAAGACTGGAGGACAAAGACAAACCATTGCTGTTCTAAATCTCTAGCAGGACAACATTGTCCCTGAGCATGGGGAATTATGTGTAGCAACGTGCACAGATGCACAAAAAGCAAAGTGAGGAACATAGGAACACACAGAAGACCTTGCAATCTGGTCTAAAAAGACCAGATTTTACTATACCAAGAAGGGCTTACGTTTTTGGTCACAGTATCCAGCAGGAAAGAGTATGCAAGCACTGAGTTGTGGTTTGAAGCTAGGAAGTATGTTGTTGCTTTAAGATAACAAGCTTTCTACAGCCAAAGTGAAACTTGTTAAGTCCCAATTAAACCCAAACACATTCAAAAGGCACTAACATTAGATCAAGGTTTTTCTTTTTTCTCCATTTTAAGCCAAATACACAAACAGTATATGGTTTAATTATAGGGAGTATAGCTAGTTTCTGGTCTGTATTTTGCAGTTATTAAACGGTTCTAAAAAAGATATTGATTTATGTTAAATGATAGATGTGGCTACTGATGAAACTGAGACATATCACCCACTAGTGAAGTATTTAAGTATACATTTAAACCTATTCAGATTTCTACCTCAAATCTTCTCTTGAAGAGTGTATTATTCCATGTACTTTACAGCAAAGTTATGGCTCAGTAGATGCAACTTTCAATGTGGGAGAAAGTATTAAAACGTAAAATAAGCTTTAAGAACATCTTTTCAACAGTTGAAGAAAGTATGTATATTGCTTCTTGAAAATTTCTAGACTATATAGGCATGTTTTCTCTTAATCTCCATATCCCTTTGCCTGACACTTGACTCAGAAGGGAGTTGTGGGTGTTCAGCATTCCAGGAAAGAGCAACTGACAGGCTTTTGACTTTTGTTGCAAGAAAACAAAATTGAATGAACTATTTCGAAACACCTGAATGCTTTTAAAGTGTCAATCTGTAGAAAAAGAACATATATTACAGAATGTACATTGTGTTTATTTCAATTCTATGCACACATTTTGCATGACCTTAATAAACCCGTGATTTAGATCTTAGGAATGACCCTCGTTTTCAGAGTCAGGCTTTTTAAATGTTTCAAATCAGATCCAGTAAAGCAAACAAAGCAGAAAAGTTATTAAAGGATATAGTTAGTTTTGAACTTATGTTTAAGCACTTTCCTGAATAGTATGAAGCTAAAGACATGCTTGAGGCCTTACTTGAAATAGGACTTATATTGCACAATGCAATCATGGAATCATGGCTAGAGAGCAGAGACCTATAAAAAGAGACAGGCAGATTTCTACATTTTTTTCATGTAGAAATGCGGTGCTTTAGAACCTCTGAACTTTTCATCATGTTTTAGAATCTCAGTGAATTTCACTCATTGAATTCACACATTTTTTCCAAATTCCATGAGATTCATTTCTATGCATATAATTGCATCTCTTTTTTTTTCCGTGTCCATTAGCTATAAAGACTCTCAGGCTTTTATGAACTTAAAAAAAATAAAATTAATAAAAAATAAACATAATGCACTGAAAGAAAGGAGAAATACTACATTCCACACGCTTACCTCTGTGAGCTTTATTTCAAACTGAAAGAAAGGGAAAATGAGGATATTATGGAGCACCTATAGTCAGTTGTGTACAACAATTAACAGTGGAGCACAGCCAAAGACAGTCCTCTTCTAAAGCAAGTGTTGGAACCACAGTGCAACAAAGGTGATTACCACCACCACGAACTGTTTTTGAAAAAGAAAAGAGCAAGCAAATTTGCCATGTCAAATGAAGCAGTTCAGTGACACGGGTGAGGGAATCAAAAAGAACAAAAATGCCTTACACTAAGCTGTAGGAAATTATGACTTCCAGTTGCAATCTTAGCTGCTTTCTTCACAGAAAATATCCAGGATGATACAATGAGATGAATGAATTGCATACTGACCTAAATATTGTGCAGTGTCCCTGACCCACTGGCTTCCCTCCAAGCATAAATCTTTCACACAGATTTTAGATTACATGTCAGTATAAGAACAGTTAAAAAGAAACATTTTTATTTTACAAACAGCTGCTAGGAAAAAAGCCACAAACAAATGTTTTGTAATTAATGATTCATGATGAAGCAGATCTAATGAAACCAACAGCGAATGGAGAGTGAACTGGGACATTTGTGGAAAGGTTTTGGTTGGCTACATAAAACAAAAGACAACATGTTCCCAAATGCAGGAACTCACTGGAGACCATCCCAGATGACTATCCAAGAACTATTGCTATGCTATCAAAAGATCAGAATGAAAGCAGTCAGGCACAGCTGGTAGAAATACACAGTAACATTTCTTGAGGATGATTTTTAATTATATTACTATGGTCACAAGAGAGAGGCCCAACTCATGTCCTGATGGAAATTGATTACCCGCTACAAGGTGTCCGTAGGAGAGCCAGTGTTTCCAAAAGACAGTCTGGCTCTAGTCACAGTGGGTTAGAGATGCCCTGTCCTTCTTGTAGTGCAAAAGCCAATCTAATCAGGTGTGAAGCATTTGATGTATGGAAAAATTAACCAGCATCTAGAGAGAAAACCTGGCACAAGATGAAGGAACCTGGCAGATGAGACAATAGACCTGGCAAAAATTACCGGAGTTTCATTCCAGTTTTGTTGAAGGTAATTCTTTTTTTGCCTTCTATTCTACATAGCCTTTCTTTTATTTTCATTCTAGGCTGTAAATCCAAATAAGTAAGCTAGCCATGCTGCTGTGTGCCATGACACCAGTCTTTAGAAAAGCACAATATAAAACTGATCATTCTTTTTCTCTCAAAACGCTTTGCTTTAAAACATGTTCCTAAAATTAATTTTGCAAGCAGCTTTTACAAAATATAAATAATTATGAGTCAAAATATCTGAGAGTATACAAATTACAAAGTAAAAACTAAGTCTCACTTTAATCAATAAGTGGTTTCCCAACCTGATGGAAAATACTATTATTTTCAACAAGGCACTTAGCTAAAATCAGTGTCTTGTGCATTGGAGAACTGTTGATGGAGCCTGGCAGCTATTTCAAGGAATTATCTGTCTAGAAAAAAAAATAATATGTATATGACTTTTGAAAGACTGTATCCAATGTTTTTGTTTAAAACATAGAAAGAACAACAACAACAACAACAAAAACCACCAACACCACCACTACCAACAACAAATTGTTGTTGGTACACACTTAATACACACTTAAGATTTATCAAGCACAGTGTTTCACCCAAAGGCACATTCTCTTAGCTCTTTCTGAAGACTGGTCTTTTCTGTCTGTACTTGGATTTCTTCTGCCTTCTTCCTTAAAATCTTTTTGTTTGTTTGTTTGCTTGCTTGCTTGCTTGTTTTTGTTGTTGTTGATGTTTTGTTTGTTTGTTTTTTCTGCACATACTTTCCTCAGGAAAGAGAAACAAAATTAAGTCTCTCTCCTCCCAAATTTTCTTATACATTGCACTTTCCTGCACATGGCCAGAGTTTTGGGAAAGGGTTCCAATTGTTTTATCTACTTTCCCACTTAAAAAATGTAATTATATTTTTTTCTGACTGACTAGTGTCTGTGCCACAGCTCAGACTTACTGAGATTTTCACATAACTTCCAGAATAACAAGACACATTTAGAAAAAAAATCACCATTTCCTCATTGCAAAACTTACCTAGACGAGGGCACTCAAAAACGGTCTATTCAGTTTTCCAAACACACAATTGAACATCCATACTGTAAACCAGCTTGATTTGTATCCATGTATTTTCCTCCTAGAACTGTGTGGTAACGTGTGTTAGTAAGTAACATTTTTAGCAGGATTGTTAGAGCTTCACTAGCATCATTTTTCACACTCTGCTATAGAAGAAGCTGATGTCCTTTCTACAAAAGCAATAATATCAACTTCAAACTTAATTTGCTCAGGTACTGCTATCACAGAAAGAAAATTGTGTTGTACTGTATTGATCCAGCAGTGGCAGTAATTACAGCAGCTGGAGCAGCTGCTCCTACAGGTGGTAGATGTGCATCCACACACACATCATCAGCTTCTATTACAGAGGAAATGTGGTGGCATATTTAAGTATATATATTGAGGATGTGCAGTATTTTGAAGTGGCTTGCTTGTCACTGGGGATAAATGTACACCACTATCACTGGACACTTTTAACTTAAGAATGTCAAGGCATGGATCTAGCATGGGGCAACAGTGCACAGTAACAGATATACCTGCAGTAGACAAAAGATGTGGGACAGATGGGTGAACATTCCAGTAGTGACCCTCTACAATGAGCATGGCTCTTATACAAACTGAACACTGAGAAAGCTGATTATATTTCAATCTCTGCAGTTTCTCTGTTCATAAACTGTTGAAAAGTTGAGGCAGAACAATTAACAATGTGCTGATATCACAACATAATTTTGACTAATAAGCAGTAATAAGCAATGCTTTTGAAAGTGCTGTGAGATGATTTTAATGAAGTTGTGTGAAGAACTGGCTCTGATCCTCTAGCATACTGGCACGTGGGTACACAAGGATATGTGTATCTACTTACAAGCTGGGGACTTCTGACATGTGGAAGCAAACTCTTCCAAATTACTATAAGGCAGTGGTTAACAAATTCTATACTGGCAAACAAGCTATCAGTATTGAAGTAACAGAGGTTTGAAGACAACTGATGATGTGATTTAATCATCAATGCTTAATTTAGCTCACTTTCTCCTTATTTTTTATATTAAAAAAAAAAAAAAAAAGAGCAAACTTCTCTTTGCTGGGGCAGATGACATATTCAAAGACAGGAAACAAGAACTGTTAAGTACATTTCCTTTACTGAGCTCTACAGTGATGGGCATTGAGATCTGTTCTAAGGGGCAAAATGATGCAATGCATTTGGTATGCATTGTCATTAGATTGCTTGTGTGCTTGCAAAGATTTGAAGAATGTATACATTTAAATGTATACGTTTTCACTAACATTAAGAAATTCTTCTTCTGCTTCTTCCTGTCCTGATTATGATACATTGATCTGTGGTCTGAACTTCATACAAGTCACAGAAAATTTTCCTGAATCTTTTATTTCTTTCTGCCTGAACCACTATTTCCTTGCATCATTGGCTGATACAGAATGTCCTACCAAAAGTATATTAATTTCTTCCACAGAAATAAAGAAAATTCCCCTTTAAGTTTATCTTGACAAAGGAAGACATCAATACTTTTTATTTCTTTCGTGTGCCTCTATTTCATCCTTCTACAGCAACCTTCTCAAATATCAGCCTACAAAGAAGTGTGGTAGATGCAATTCACTTAAAAGAGAATGGGACCCACCCCATTGACAGGTGGTGGGGCAGGAGTGTCAGGACAATGAGTCTGAGTTTTTTACACTGGTTAAATTGATTTAGCTATTTCAGCCTTGCAATGCTTCATGAAGTGTTAAATAAGCTGGAGAACCCTGATCAGATCAGGCAGCAGTTTTCAAGGCCTTTGATAAGAAACTATATAGATACAGTGTAAATGAATGACTGAGAAAGTTAGACAGCTAGAGGACCAGATGTAGGGAGTCTGAAACAATCTCAGAAACTACCTATAATTTTAACCTATAGGAAAATCTTGAGATTTGATTATGAGAAGCAACGACATTTCGACATTTTGCAGTGAAAATAAATACGATATAAAACCAGCATATGGGGCTTTTGAACAATAATGCCTTCCTTCTCTTGCCCGTGCTCCATATTCTGGACAATGTCATGAAATACAGTTATTGCAATACCAACAGAAAGTGCAGAGGTTCTGAAGGGACTTTTTCACTTGATACTGCCACTGGGATTTGTGAGTCAACCCCTCATCCCACCTGCACAAGCAAACCCAAATTCCAAGCACACATAAACTCAATTTTAAGGAGCTTATGCCTGACAGGTACAATCCAAGGAAGATTCCAAGAGAAGCAAGGAGGGAAGCCATAACTGAATAAACCTTTCTTTCTTTCAAATTTGGATTTCAAATACATTTCTTTAACCTATATTTCATTGCTTATGAGGTGGTTTTTTTTTTTTTTTTTTTTTTTTTTTTTTCTTGCATCATGCTTTCTACTCTTTTTTTCTCCTAACTCTGGATGGGAATCTGTAGTATGCCTTAACAAAATACAGTAAAATTACACCATGCATAAGGTTGGTATGAAAGTGGTTTAAAACTCTTTGCACACCTACAGCAGTACTAAATTAACAAAATTTTGTAATAAATTACATTTTATAATTGACAACTATCCTAAGTTTAGTAACAATACAATAACACAGATACATTTATAATTGCATCCATACAAAGATCACCTAGTGTTAGGCACCTACTCAATAGTGAAGCTCCTGAACAAAGAAAGTAGGCTGGTATTATTACTTTTTTTTTTTTTTTTTTTTTTTTTTTATGAAAGAAGTCAAAAGAAGAGAATGCAAAGGTGTACTTTTTGTTTGTTTTTACATTTAAAAATATGTCTTTTTTTCCATGGAATAAATTTCTGGGTGGAAGCTCTTGGCATTTGAAATCTCACTTTCAGAAATACTGGAAGAAATTTAAGTAAAATGAAATTGTAACTCCATGAAGGTCTAAGTGTGCCAGCCTGTACAAATTCAAGCTGAGGACAGCTACATCCTTGATGTAGAGGGTTGCTGAATAATACAACCACTCCCCATGGCTAGGATGGGTGTTGTGTACAGCTGTGTGGGCAGGACATGGAGAGAGGAAGAAGGTTGTAGTGTTACCCTTGATAATTTTTCACCTGGACTGTTTGGATCGTAAGATGTCCCCTGTGCATATTACGTTTGGTCTTTTCGTAAGACAGCTGCAGTTCCTTCAGACACTTGCAGAGCCACAAAAGAGATATGAAGTAACTCAGAACCCCCATCTTCATCATGCTCCTGCAACAAGGATACACTGGGGTGGGCCAAACAGGGTCATACAGCCCCATAGAGCTGAGGAATTATGTGTATGGAAACTTGGGCTTATACTGAGTTTATGTTCTCTACTCTCCTGCTGTGTGAGCACTAGAGTGATGTTTAAGGACTGCTTCATGGGTATTGTGTTGTCATGGCTGGAGTCAAGGTATGCAGCACTCATCTGTTCGAAGAAACAACAGGGGAGAAATCTCTAGTGGATGAAGGCATGAAGCCCTTGTGAGAGTTTCTTTTGACTTTTCCTAGGGGTTTTAGAACTGATAAATCAAGCTTAATTGGAATTTAAAGACATTATGTGGTAGGAAAGACCAATTTGAAACTGAATCAAAAAGCACAAAACAAGTCATTTATAGGAAGTATTTCAAAACATTTACATATCTTTAAATATTTTCTATAAAATCCCTCAGCTCCTTAGATCATTATTTATAGAGTTCATAAATAATAGTGTAATGCATATTTTAAAAATATGAGAAGTATTCTTCCATGGAGTTGCAGAAGATAATCTACTTTTAAATCCACAACATTTCTAGAATTAATCAAATGTTACACAATGTCCTTTAGTTTAATTGCATGAACAAACATAAAGGCAAAAAGACAAAACAAATTATCTTTTATCCATTATCTTTTTCTTCATCAACATCATGGCAGCTGTGGGCAAAAAGATCATACGAGGCTAAAGGGAGCCTGATTTCCTTCATCCTTAACAGTTTTTCTCTTCCCATATATAAACTATATTTTAAACTCCTGTAAACAAATAACTTAGTAATAATACTTTTTGTTTTTTAAAGACAGGTAGACAATTTCTAACAAATAGTCTAAACACAGAAAACTATTCTGTAAACTCAAAAATAGCCACACTAATAAAGTGCAATCATCATCTACAACTTACATCAGACTTGAGCTGACAAAACTGACTTTCAAAAGGCTTAAACACTTAATACAACCTAGATGTGATACCGACAAAAAAGTAAATAAATAAATAAATAAATACCATCTCCACTGTGGATTATTTTATAAATTCTGTCAGTCCACTATGTATTGTATGTTCTTCACAGATTATGACTGATCCATGACAGTCCTGAGACAGGCCATTGCAGTTGCAGTATTATGGCTTTAAATGTAATATCGGACATCACCATGAGAAAAGAATACCCCCAGGAGTCGAGGACAGAAGGTAATACAGTGGCTCTTTCAGTGGTGTGGGAGACATGGCAAACTGCTGCATAGCTGAACAGTTCCCCTTTGTTCTCTCTTCAGCTATGGATCTGATTTCTCTGAATTGGGCTTATTATAATAAATATAGATGCACAACATGATTATTTATGGGAAGAAAACAGACAAAAGGGGTTGAGTTGCTGGTACCTAAAACCTCATTTTCTGAGCTTCTCCCCTTGAGGCCCTTTTCATTTGTTGCACCATTGTATTCTCATTGTTGCTCAATGATACAAGCCTAAGCTGTTCATCAATTTACCCACTCCCCCAATCTCTCTTTTTCTCTCATGTGTGTTTCCTCTCTCTTCCCATGTTAATAGTTCCCCTGAAATCCTATCACTTTGCTGGAGGATTGATGTAAGTCTCCAGCAATTAACATAATTACAAGCCTGATTATCTTCTAATTGCATTATGAGTATTTGGTTATTCACTACACAAATTAGAGAAAATTAAAGAGGAGCAAGATCCTGTGGTGTGGGCGGTATGCTTTCTAAACTGTTATGAGCATCTGAATGCTGTGAGATAACAAGAAGGTGAAGACGTTTTATTTTCCTATTGGTTCACAGTTGTTCTTGTCACTGTGCAATTTTTTTTCTTCTTTCAACCGTGTTTCTTCACTGAAAGATATG